CGGCGGGGTTGGGTGAGTTGCGGTGGCGGCGGTTGCGGGAGATGCGGCGGCGGCCTAGGGTTGAGGAGGCGCGGTGGCGATTACAGGGAGATGCGGCAGCGGCGGCGCAGGGCGGAAGCGATGAGAATCGTAGGGTAAACTAATACCATGTAGAAAGGTGTAGAATGCAACTCATTGTATTCCATGGAGCAGGTTACAATATATACACAGGATGTCTTGCGTGACAAGGAAACTAATCCTATCATATCTCTAGAAGTCAGCTATACAAGGCTAGAGAAGATAGGATTAGCAACACAAGATATGTCACGTTCAACATCACAGGATCAACAACGTTAATTAATCTCCAATCAAAAACCTCCACCTAATCACGGTCTGTTGAATCCGTCGAAACCATCCCATATGTGTAGCATTACTCCGAGTGATTACCGTGGTATCAGCTCCTTCCTCTTTGACATGCGATACAATTTCACTTCTCCTCAATAGTTAGGACACAAGTTGATAGTACGTGCAGATCTGGTGAGGATGCCATGGTTGCCATGGCACCCCCTCCCAACATGCAAATTTTGTTTTACTATGTCTAATTAGGCAGGCTAACATGTGTGTAATAGAAGTGCTCAAATGCAAAAGTGTTAAGCTTGCCACCCCTATGATGAAATTCTACATTTGTCACTGGCTGAGTGTGCGGGTCGAACCGATCGATTGACATAGTTTCTTCTTGAGTTTTTGTTCGGATCCGGCATGTGGTGGCCTCTAGGCAGCTGGTTCTGCATCGAGGATCAGAGGCGGAGCCATGAATGGACCATGCATAGGCCGTCCTTATTAGCGAAGGATTTCTGGGCCAAGGCCCAGGGCCTGCCGCTGCCACTGTTGAGGATGGCAACCAAACACCTTCGATGCAGACAGTGGCAAAGCCAAGAGTTTAAAGTTGTGATATCAATTTACAACTGTGATGTCAAATATAAATGTATTTATATAATTTTTTGGATGATTTCAAGTACATATATGTTGTTTTAGCAAAATCCTATGCAGCCTCTCGCGCCGCCATTGGGTGCAGACACCTGCATGCATGATTTCTTTTTATTTCATATGTAATAATCAATTTGTTGTAGCTGTTAAAACATTTTGCCGCCTTTTCGTTTGTCTTTGTAATAGTTTGCTTGCATCTGTAGTTGGCGTAGAGCCCAGGGGTGATAAAGTTACCATTTGCCCCCGCCAAAAATAGATAAAGCTAGGTAGCTTCATCACGGGTCGTGGCAAGGCCAACTGCCCTCTGGAAAACTAGTCATACACGTACCAATACACGTAAGGTTTTGACTAGAGTGATGCCATTGATCGATCCATATATGTACAGGACCGCGGCCTAACCAACCACCATGGAAATGCCTGGCTAAAAGCTAGCACGGCCCTACACGAGTGCATACGGTAATGGCAACGGCAACGACTACACCACCAAAAGTCTCGCTTCACCGGGACACCAAAATATGGTTGATGCCAGCCAAATGATCGAGCTAGGTGGATGTCACCTTCATCATGGCAACGAGCAATTCATGGATCACTATCTTGCTAGGCTAGCTATTCATGCATCGATCACTATTTCTAGGTAGGCTGTGGACATCCCGATGGCATCCATGCGTTAGGGTTTAGGCCATCTGCAAAAGCATGACCTCGGGTTGAAATGAACTCTACTCGCATGAAAGGGAGAGGAGAGGAAGTGCACCTCTAGGGGGGTATATGGCCGCGTATTTTGGAAATTTTATATGGTCATACTTTCTTTCAACACAGTATAGACGCAGACGCTCATATACATGCACATGCACTTATCCCTATAAACGCACGTACACTCTATCCTATGAGCACCTTCAAGAGACTGAGCCAGCGCATACTCTTAAAATTGACAAAGTCACCACAGACGTCTTCGTAGTCGACGAGAACGTCTACTCTCACTAAACCGACATCATCGAAGGGCCTGAAATAAATCCAAAAAAATGCGACCATCAATGGCAAGTCTAAGACTTGAACTCTGATGGGTTGGTTTGACCACAAAGAACCTAACCATATACGGTCATATTTGTATGCTGTTGTATTTCATATCGATTATCTCGACTCAAGAGACAACTTGTTTTTTTAACACAGTACAGCCGCAAGCGCTCATACATACGTGCATACACTTATCCCTATGAACGCACACACGCACATCCTACCCCTATGAGCATCTTTGAGAGACTGAGCCGGCTTATCATCTTGAGATTTACGAAGTCATTGTAGGTGCCTCGTCGTCAATGGGAACGTCTTCTTCCACTAAAAGCGCATCGCCGGAAATCCTGAAATAAGTCCAGAAATAATGCGAGCACCAGGACTTGACCCTGGTGGACTGGGGATACCACTGTCCCTCTAACCATCCAACCACATGTTGGTTCGCAAAGAGACTACTTGTTGGACCAACGAACAAAACTGAGGGAGCGACTATATGTCAGGTGACTGGATAAAAAAAAAATCGGGTCACTTTGCCATCCCCCATCCCTCTCCTCGCCGGCGATGCCGCGACCACCCTCAGGGCAGGTTTCGCTTGAAGATTTGACTGGCACCCGAATCATTTCTGGCGGCCGTCGAATAGCGAGGGAGCGGATCTTAATCACCACTAACTCCAACTTTGCTATGAACTTTCCCGTAAAGAAACAAAAAACTTTGCTATGAACTTACCATAAGGAATCTGCGACGGTCACCAAAATCGACCTGCTTTTTCCCAACAACAACGGAATTCGGCAGACTTTTTGGTCGGGAGCAGGTGAGTCCGGCGACTTTCCCATGCAAACAAAACAAACAAAAATCAAGGCCCGTTGATGGCCCTGCTTTTGGCTTCGGGGGTCAAACACGGGAGAGACGGTCTTAAAAACCCTGACGAGGACGGGAGTTGGGCTGGACGCTCGATCGTACCAGCACCAGCACCGTACCACCAAAGCTGTTCAACACGGCTTGGCCTGGCATGGCGAAGGTGGTGCGTGACTGCTACTTCGCTAGTGCTCCATCCCTTTTCCTTTTGCCCGTTCCAATCGGCCGTTCGCGTGTGGTTGCTGTTAGGCGTCCCGCACTCACCGACGGATAACCTCGAGGCAGATATTATCGTTGTCTTCTCAGCAGGTGTCAATCGTTCGTTGCTGTGAAGAAACTCTCGTCTGTTTTCAGGTAGAAAGGGGGCGATGAGCTGTGGATATACCACCAGTGGTGAGGTGGCCGATTATTTAGGTTTTCAGTTTTTGAGCTGACAGCTAGGTGACTGACGAATTTTTTTTGCGTGTATTGAACGGTTCTTGGCGCCAGGAGTACGTAGAAAGCTGAGCGTGCGATGCATTTGACCAGAGAGCTCCTTGTTTCTTGGTGCAGGAACACGATGGATTTGCAGGTGCTACCTCCCCTGTTGTTATCGCAGACAAAGAGGATGGAGGTCACGCAAGTGTCGATGATAATGATGGCTCAATCATTGCCGTGCAATCTAGTTAACGGGCAGCCAACCGAGGCATCATTTTGGTATCATTGCAGTGTCTTAATCGCCGAGCTGAAAACCCCCCGGTGCCTTTGATTCAGATGAGTCTGCTCTGATCTTTGTGTGTTCGGCTGCACTCGTCAGTGTAGGATGCGGTGCTCTGAGCCCAGCCATTTCCTGTAGGTGCAACACTGATGCTCCGGCGCGCAGACACGACGCGACCATTCCGTCAGTTGAGTGGTTTTCAGTCAGCAGAGCAGCAAGAAGGAAACGAGCTGCATGGAAAAGAGGCTCGAAAGCATAATCTCGTTGGACACACAAGGTTTGCAGGACACAGAAACAACAAGCCAGTGGTCCGGCAGGTAAAAGGGATGCGCACATCATCGAGTAGTTTTCAGTTAAATAGGCTTCATGCCAAAGAAGCGTCAAGAGTGCACACTGAACCAAGAAACTCGTGTCACAGTCACCGGACACACAGGCTTTCCAGGACACAGGAACAGCCAAGATCACAACTCTACCCGATATATGACCCATCACGTCCGGATTCATCAGGTTATTTGCCAAACAGACGCTTTGAATCAGACACAAATGGGGCGAAATCCGACATGACCCTGCTACTAATTCAGGGTCATGGTTGACAGGGGAGGAACCATGAGAATGAGAAGATAAGGTAGACAATCTGTCTAGTTATGATAGGCACTCTTCAATTCAGTCCCATGGTTCAGTCCACTATATATATATATATATCGCTCCTATAGGCCAAACCGGAATGGCATAACAGGAGCATTAGCTAGGATCGTCGTTCCGTAATGAATGGGCAAGCAATTTACACTTCTTATAGGCCACATAGGGCCTTCAGCCAGAGCAGAGCTTCTCGAGAGCCATGTTCTCGTCGCCGTTAACACTCATCAGGGCGCTTCTCACCATATCCTCGGGGAAGCCCATCTCGACCAGCTTCTGCACCTGCACTCGCACAGACAGGATATTGCTAAGGTTCATCCAAATAGATAGCTCTCCAGTACATGATATACAGCTGGATAACCGTACCTTTTCTTCCATGCCGGTGGAGTCACTCTTTGCAAATGCCTCGGTCCAATAGCGAGCAGTACTGACAAATGTGGCCTTGTCACGCAGATACTGCAAACATAAATGCAAAGAAAAATAATTAGTGGAATGCAACAGCGAGTCTGATAACCTGACATTCAAGACCACTGTCTCGAAATCCATAAGCATTTCCAGGTCTGCTCTGTTCATGAATACCTATCATAGCGAAACGTCAGGCCTTATTATGCTTGCGCACTGTATCAGTTGAATGACAGTACCAAACAACAGAAAGGGCCCACTCAGGTCTTAGGCCAGCCATGGAGCATAGCTAATTGTGGACCTGCCTAGACCGACTAACCAAGTAATATGGTCACTTCTAGACTATGAACCTGCCTAGACTGACTAAACAAGTACTTATCCAGTAAAGAGAGAGGTCCAATTACAACCCTGAACTTGCGCCACTTGGTTTAAGAATCAACACTAAACTACAAAACCAATCAAAAACAAACCCTGAACTAACGACCAGGTTCAGAAATCAACCCTGCACTCAATTTTTTACCAGATGAAGCACTTTGATCGCATCGACCGGTGTCTGGGCAGTGCCACGTCAGCAAGGTGAGATGAGTCGTTGAGTTAGGGAAAGCAGCTGGCTCGTGTCTCTCTCTTTCCCTTGTGCCCGAGCTTATCCCCACAGAGCCACGGCCGCCCCTGACCCGTCCACCGCCGCACCGCGCCTCGAGCCTGAACCCCTCCCCATCACATCCTCTCATGTCCACGCGCCCGAGCCCAAGCTGTCTCCTGTCCATGCGCCCGACGCCGCCCTTGACAACCAAGACTCGTTTGCCGGACTCTTGGATCGTAGTGACGCGGTAAGCTCTTCTCCTCTGCCCCGCTCCGCTTGCATGGGCATGGACGCGGGCACCGGAGGCGAGCTTGGCGTTGTCATGGCGGCATGCTGGCGGAGCACGAGCAGCACAGCGAAGAAGGACCAGTAGGCATCTGCGAACTCGTCTTCCTCGGCTCCCACGAAATCACGGCGGGAATCGGGGCAGCACGGAGGACGCGAGAGCTGGTCTCCCGCATCTAGCCTGACGGTGCTGCCTGCTGCCGCTACTCTCCCGCATCTGGACAATGCCACGGCTTGCTGCTGCTGTTGATCCCACGCCGCGCTGCGGCACTACACCACCGGCACGTGCCTCTTCTTTGCTTCGGCCCGACACCCACGGTTGGAATTGATGGGAGGGGCAGCCGACTGCGTGTCCGTGACATGCTTTGGACAGTAGCAGCAACAGAGCTTCTCAGGCAGCATGATGGACACGACAGTGATGACCGGGCCCACGCCGGCGGCCCGCGGGGACGATGGTGGCTACCGGATCCACGTCAGCTGCAAGCAGGGGAGGTGCTGGCTCCGGCGACTGTTCAAGCTCAAGCTCGTAGACGCGGTGGAGATGCGTCACCGCCG